CCTGGACATGTGGACCTGGTGGGAGAGCTACTTCACTCCTCACTGTGGACAGGAAACATGAATTTTGCTGAGGACTGAACTTCCTTGGCCCCACTAAGAATGGCTGTCCTGACCCTCCCTGGTGGCGCAGCGGGCTAAAGCACAGCACTGAGAATCTAAAGCCACTTCCGCATGAGTTCGATTCCCGCTTGCCCCGGAGGTGACCACATGGTGTGGTAGACCTCTCCTGACCCGCCCGCTGCTCCCCTCAGCAGTGTACTTCGTCGATCTGCCTGTTCTGCTCCCCACTCTGTCTCTGGTGAAGCCTCTCACCGCCCCTGAGCCTCTGGCCTGCACCCCAGTTCTGTATGCACAAATAAAGAAATCTTTAAAAAAAAAAAAGAATGGCTGTCTTTGAGAGATATCAATGAGGTAGGAATTATGCCTTTGAAGACTGATTGGAGGGGGGAGATAGGGAAGCACAGAGGGCGGGAGGATCAGCCATTTCAGATTAAAACCATTGACTGGCATCAGGCTCCCATTCACTTGCCCTCCCGGTCCGTAGTTTGTGCAATCTCCTGGCACCGTTGTCCTAACCAGCTCACGCTCAGACTTGCATTCTTTCCCTTTAGGAGAACATCTGCGTCTCACCTGCTGCATTGTGTTGTCCATTATTACATTGATAATATCTAATAGTCCGAGCTCAGTATGTAAAAGCCTCATGTGGATTACCCCAATTAATGTTCAGGAGGGTGGGCACTTTTTAAACCCCATTTGCTGTTGTGATGATGGGAGTCTGGAGAAGAGAAGGAGGTTGGCTAGGGTCAAAGAGCCAGCAAGACCCAGATGTGACGTGAACCGAGGAGGCTGTGCTCTCAGCCACACAGAAAATCCTGTGTTTAGTGAAACTTCGTTTGCTTAGCTGAATTTATTGAAGCCTGGATGCTAGAGACCTGAGCATCTAGGAGTGTGTCCAGGTAGCAGTGCCAGTCTGAAGGAATTGGTCCTTTCCTATCGCCTCCTCCCAACTCCCCTGCCTCAGCTATTAGGGTAGGTGGGCTTCCCTTATATGTCACAGAGAAAGATGAGTGCCCTCTCTCAAGCCCACACTTCTCCCAGTCTGCCTTTGGGAGACCCAGTCTCAGGAAGGCCCCTGCGGACTGGGAGACAGGTAGCCACAGGCGCCGTGGTGGTTATTCTACCTGTTCCCCTCCTTCCTTTCCTTTTCCCTTAGACACTAGGAGAATTACTTTCAGGTATACAGAATAAATTGCACTGATTTGGAACTTATTTACATCCCTCTTTGTTCTAGTCATTTCTCGGTCTAGTCAAATGGTATGTGGACTTGGGGGAAGAAAAGCCCTCTTTCTACAGAATTCTCATGTATGTAGGTAGGGATTATATTTGACTGTAAGTAACAAACTCAATAATGGTGACTTAAGATATGGTTGGGCTTATCTCCTGTAAGAGATGGGGTTAGATAGGCCAGTAGATGCTCAGATGTCACCAGTGATGCTGTAGTCCTCTCTGTGACTGTCTTTTACAATGGCCTTCTTTCTCTTGGTGTTCTTTCTCTCCCATTCTCTTCCATCCCAAGATGGCAGCTGGAGCTCTGGCTGTTGGGTCTGATTCAGAGAACAAAGGAAAAAGGGAAAAAGAGATTCTGGAGTTGGGGAAATTTCCTTGGCCCTAACTAATGATTTCATATCTCATTGGTTAATGCTTTCTGAAAAAGGCTGGGGATTTCACATTTTAGTTAGACATATGGTTGCTTTCAATAAGGTACAGATTTTGTTACTAAGGAAGACGAAGAAAAGGATGTTGGATAGGCAAGAAGTAGTTTTTGATGTTTATCCCAGAATACCAGCTTGCTAGCTTGGGCAATTTAGTGAGTGATGGTGAACAGTAATGCCATTTTCTGAAACAATGATACAGAAAGAAGAGAATAATGTACATTTTGGAACACATTAACTTTAAGTTGTTGGAGGTATTAAGGTCAAGGTTTTGTGGTAGGAGAATAATGCATGCTTTTCCCCCAAATGACTGCATCTCAATGCTTGAATTTTGTGGGTAGGAATTTGCAGGTGTGATTAAGTTAGAGTCAGTTCTGTCTCTCCAACCAATTCATATTAAAGCCTAGTATCTCAGCAAGTGACGAGACAGAATCTTTAAAGAGGCAATTGAGTTAAAATGAGCTCATTAGGGTAGACCCTAATCCACTAATGACTGGTGTCTAAGAAGAGATTAGGGGGATACAAACAGAGAAAGACCATGTGAAGACAGGGAGGGAGGGCGGCCAGCTGCCAGCTACGGACAGAGGCTCAGAGAAGACCAACCCAGCTGAGAGCGTCCTCTTAATTTCTAGCTTCCATAACTCCTTCCAAAACTGTAAGAAAATAAATTTCCATTGCTTAAGAGGCACAGTCTGGGATATTCTCTGTGGTAGTCCTAGCAGATGACTGCATGGGTCATGAAATGGGAGAGGTGACTAGGATTATCCAGGTGGACCCAATGCAATGGCCAGTGTCAGGCACAAAGGTGTAGTGACGGAACTAGAGTCAAACTGATGTCATGTCTGGTTCTGATGATGGAGGAATGTGGCAACCTCTGGATGCTGTGAAGCAATGAAGAGATGTTTCCTGAGAGCCCCTAGGGGCTGTACAGCCCTGTTGACACCTTGATGTGCCCTGGGAGATCCATTTTGGTCTTCTGACATCCAGAAAGGCAAGATAATACATTAGGTGGACTCAAACTACTAAATTTATGATTATTTTAGTAGCCTCAGTAGGCAGCTCACACACTGTCCAATGGACATTTAGATGTGTGAACAAAGCCCTGGAGAGTCAGCAGGGCACAGAAAATAACTGACCATCATGAGGGAAGAAACATTCAGAGAAACATTGAAGGATGAGAGGTGAAGTCTAAGGAAGGGCCTTCTGGGATGCCACATTCCAGGGTAGAAATCACTGCTGTTTCTCTGATGGCAGGGTCTCAGGACACAGGTTGGGTCAGGTGGTGGAGGGGGTGCCCTGGCTAGCGTATGCTTCAAAAGAACACCATTTTGACTCTGGTGGAAAGGTTTCAGAGGCAGCACTGAAGAATAAGGCCTTGAGATACAGTAATAAACAGTCAGGGCCCAGGGAGTTGTGGATGTGCTAGGTAAGTCCCAGGCCTCAGGTCCTGGCTCTCATTCTCTGGCTTCATGCCCCTCCCTCTCACCCCTAATGTCAAGACCTGGCACAGTTCTATTCCAGCAGCCTGGAAAGGCCAGTAGGGGCCAGACTGACTTGAGGTCCAATCTCTGGCCTGCCATAGCACTCCTGTGTCCCTCCTTCTGGCTCTCACTATGTCATAACTGTCCATTTCTTTTGGGACTAGCCTGAGGGCTTCCCGAGGCCAGAACACATGTCCTCCTCTCCAGACCCCCAGGACTGACATCTGGCACACAGTCGATGCTCAGGGATTGAAGTGCCACCGTAACAGCTGCTCCTGAGGTGTGAGCTAGAGACTACTTGAAAAAGGGACCAGAGAAATGAAGTCCTAGGTGTCTGGTGAGTGAATGCACACCTGCCTCCGTGAGGGACATGTGCTTCCCAGTCTGCCAGTTTCCCTTCCGTGCAGCACAAAGGGAAACAGCCACTGTTTACATGCACATCTCTTTATTGATCAAGATGAGCCCAACTCGATCCATGTAATTACCAGCAAGGCTGTTGGCAGTTGCTTTTTCCTATTCTTTCCACCTACAGTGGTGGTTTTGCCAAAACCTGTTATGCAAAAGGAGATAATCTTCATCTGACAGGGGGGTGACCCATGCTGATCCCTTTGGACTAGAGGACCTAGACTGGGAGATGGTCTGGGACTCTCCTTCCCATGCCTGCAGGCCCCAGGATGAGCGAGCTTGGTCCCTCTGGGTATAGCATGGTCCTGATTGGAGACCCAAAGAATTGACTGCACAGAATTGGGGTCTGGCTATGCCAGTGTAGCCCCTGGAGTTATGTGCAACTGGTAGAGACAGGAACCTCAGGTGACAACCTGCTCCCTGGATGCTGAGAACACAGGCACGAGGCTCCAGAGTGGGGCAGGAGGAAGTGATCACCAGGCTTAGCAGGGTTAAGGAGGGAATGGACTCCACTTTCAGTGACTCTCCTTTAGTCTTAAACGAGGCAAGGAGGGTGTTTGGAGAATGGGGGGACAGCACAGTGGCCCACAGCACTTCTCCCTGCAGAAACTTGGAGTCCAGCAGCTTGACTCACTGGAGATGCTTCTTTGGTTCTGAGCACTCCTGGGATGGTGACGCTGAACCTCTGAAGGGGGTATGGACTTGGCTGGCAATGTGATCTGAGGTTGTAAGAGCATCAGCTGGTTCCAAATCCTCCTGCTGAGCATCCTGCAGGATGCAGACTAGGGCTCGCAAGGCCACCCGCTCTGACAGCACCATGCTTGCTGGTGGTCATAAGCCTTTGCATTTGTGCCTCTGACCACTTACATGTCCTACAACCAGAAGCTTGGGAATGAGAACGCATCTGGTTTCTTTCCTAGGGGGTGTTTAGGCCTCCCTTTCATTCTGTCCTCTCTGCCTGTCTACATATTCCGGCTCTATTCCAGCCTTTCCCATCCTGCAGCTCCCAGCCCACCATGCAGCCCTGGTGCCTACTCTGAAGCCCCGGCAGAGCTGGATGGGGCTGGGGTCATGGCTGTGATCTCTGAACCCTGCTTGACTTCAGTCTTGGCTTGGTGTTCCTTCCTTGGTGTCCCTGGGCCTCACTCACCTCCTCTGTAAAGTGAGGATGATGATAACAATCAGAATAAGACTCAGGAGAAGGTTGAGTCAATGCAAGATCACTCCCGGACAGGAAGTTAGGACCAAGAAATGTTTGTGATTTTCAGCTCAATACCTCCCTCTGCTCTTCAGACACCATTCTAGAATGCCTTCATGTCAGCTGATGTTTACGCTCCATCCTCCCACCCCCACCTACCCTCCAGCCCCAGTTGGAGTCACCCAGAAGCCTCACCAGTACATGCTCAGTTCTCTTGCACACATTTAATAGGACATATTTGGGGTTCATGTTTTAGATTTCCAGAGACCTCTGCAGGACTGGAGATGGCGATGGAGTGGTGGGTTTAGGGGGTAGGCATGGGACGACGTGTCTCTGGCAATGCTGCAGGTGAAGGAGCGATAAAACACAGCTTCCTTGGGGAGACCCAGTACCATCCTCTTGTTTCTTTCAGGACAGAATAAACAAAGTCACAGACTCTATGGTTTGGGGCCAGAGAGGGGAACTAAGCAGAAGAGCGTTGGGATCTGAGACCCAGAGAGACAGAGGAGGCTGGACCAGGCAGAAGAAGCAGGGCTTAGAGGAGAATGAGCCCACGGAGCTGCTGGAGTGGACTGCCATCCTTTCTTGGGCTCACCCTTGTTGGTTCATGTGGACACTGACAGGCTGATCTAGGATAGTTGCCTGCATCACCTGGATCATGAATCATTCTGGAAGGTTCTTTCTCATTATTTTTTGGTGTCAACATTGGACTTAGGTGGACAAAGAGAGAGTTGGAAGCTTCTGCTTTGTCACCCCACCAGCATCTCAGAGTAGGTCCCTGTGAGTCACTCAGAGGAACTACTCTGGAAACTCACCATCGGGGCAGGGTGGATGGCGGGGGTGGGGGTTAGAGGAATGAATCAGTGGATACAATCTTGGACTTCCTAGTGGAGCAAAATTCCTAATGGAACACAGCAGATCCTGTTCACTGAATACAATTCTACACTAGCCAATTTCTTTAGGTCTCACTCAATACAACTCTCCCCAGCAGAGTAGCTACGAGCAGGATAATGTAATCCTGAAGGCTGAACAAGGGGATGCGGTTCTGATCCCTTCCATGGGCGGGAAAGCAGTCGTGGTAGTGATATCTTTTCTAGAAAGATGGCGTCTGCCCTAGGCTGTGTCATCAGGACTAACAGCTGTACATTAGCTTTTCATGTCACAAAAGTGTCATGATATCTTGACTGAATTTGTCACTGGTGTGACAATTGTGTGGGGAGCCAGTGGGTGTGCACAGAGAATCTCCTCATTTTTCTTGCTGAGAAACTCGCTGGAGATACAGGGAATGCAGGGGCCCGCTGGGGTCCCAAGTTCAGAGCAGCTTCTATCATCATGATTATCCAAAGAATAGGATCTACCGAGACCCGCAGGGAAGCAACATCCACCTAGGCCTCACCCCACCCCTAAGTGGGCGGCGAAGTGGCATCTGGAACATGTGGGTTGCCAGTGAGCTAGCTGGGAATCCACCTTGCTCCCATGTCCAGCAGCACTAAGGAACGTGAGAGTGATATCCTGGGGTCAGTACTGAATCAGTGCTTGTGTCAAAAGAACGGGAAGTGATTGGCAAATCCTGGAGCTTGAGGTGCTAAAATTACATTACCCACAAGATTGGTCCTGAGTACCTGGGTGCAGAAGACTGAGAGCTCGAGGATTCACTGAATGAGCACATGGTCATGCAAGGTGACCATGACAGGCTCCCGGACTTTGGCTCCTGAAATGGACGAGGCAGTCATGTCCAAATGATACAGGTACCTGCCTGCATGATGAAGAGGGAGCAGGGTGAGGTTCTGCCTCTGCCCCTGGAGGCCTGTTAGAGGTTGCTGTGACTGAGGGCAGGTGGCCTCCTTGCAGCCAGGCAGTGCAGCTGCTGTCTCACAGGCACTTTTCCACCTGAGGGCCTCAGGTTGCTACCTGGAGCTCCAGGTTTCGGGAGCACATAACTCACAGAGCTCTCTGCCTGGTGAGCCCTCTGGAAACTGCCTTCCAGTTGGCCCAGGAGACTCCCAGTGTGCCCCTGGCCAAGCTGCACTAAAGCACTTTGGGAAGCAGGTGCAGACAGGACTAGAGGAGGTGATGGAAGGTTTGGGAGGTTAAGGAAACGGCCAGGCTCTGTCCTCTCACTTTCGCACAGGTACTTCCTGCTGCTTGAAATGCTTTTCCTTCCTGTTCACTAGCTCTAATCTTTGCTTCTGTTCTGAGTTTAGATGATGTGGGCCCAGGAACCACTTTGTCCTCTCCCAAGCCTGGGCTAGCTGCTGTCTTCATGCTCCCACATGCCCAAGCTCCCCCATCAGGTGCTCAGCACAGGCTCCCCCGCCCCCCACTGGCTTGAGTGTGTCTCTCAGGTTGGGGCCATGTCTGTTTTTTTCCCATCCCAGGGTCTGGCCCACAGTTGGGCACTCAATACATATTTGCTTGTTTGCAGGGTGGGAGAGCAGAAGCTGGGATTTTCTAAAGTCAAATCCATTTTTGGAAACCTATTGACCATTCAAATATAGAATTTGATCTTCTTGGTTTTGATTCTTCAAGGAAGTGAAGGAGAGCAATTTTACAGATTTTCTCTACAGTTCCCCATCTCGAATATGGAGTGAGGTGGCGGGGAGAGGGAAGGAGGAAATTAGAGCACCCTGCCCTTGACTGGTTGGCAATTCAGAGGGTGGAGTAGTCAAGGAGAAGGAGTTAGGTGGGAGGGGAGGCACCCTGACACCCCCAACCCATCTCACTGCTGCTGATAGAGATACTGTATATTGGGACTTGAACTTCTTTGGTTAGCTGGCTCCCAAAGTCTTGTCTAGGGCAGTAAGCCTTCTGGGAAAGTGTTTTTCCAGCTGCATTTTCCCATTCCTTCTTTGGAATGTTTGATACTTGTGTCTTGTCTGGTCTTTTGAAATGTAAATCAGTGTCTGCCAGGGAGCTGGGGCTGGCAAACTCAGAGGGTCAACACTCAGCCTTCCCTCCCCTCAGGAAGGACCTCTACTGGCCAGCGTGGGTTCTAGAAGGATACACATGTGGACTCCAGGCACTCAGATATGTAAGCAGAGGTCTCCCGGGGGGCATAGTCCACCCAAGGGATTTCCCAACATGCATAGAGCTTGGCAGAGTCTGATAAATGACACTCGGATGCACAAGCAGGACACGAGACTCACAAAGGGGCTGGCTGCAGCCAGGATGCGAGGGGGAGTCAGCAATGAAAGGTACATCCAGCAAGTCCCCAGCTAGTGGGCGCAGGCCTGGGCTTTCCCACAGGCCAGGAAGAGACCTTGCCAGGATCAGTTTTATGGCAAACCCTACCAACGGGAGATGGCGACGCTAGAGCTCGGCCATCACTCTCATTCTTCTGGTGAAGTTGGTAGGGTGATGGGGGGGACAGAGGGTGGCACCGCCATCAGCAATTCAGGAAGAAGGACTTGACATTCTGGAATAAACTGGACTTCTGTCTCTGCTTCTGCTTCTTTTTGATGATGGGCACCCACACCAGCCCGCACACCAGCGTCATGAGTCCCAGGGACAGGAAGGCAGGCCCTATCATCTTAAGGGCCTTTCTGACGTTGTCATCCATGCCCAGGGTGTAGGCCAGGCAGGTGAGAACCACCCCAAAGAGGAGGATGGCCCCACCTACTGACATGATGACTACCGGCTTCCGGTAGATTTCCCAGTTACTCCGGGGGGTGGTGGTCCAGACGGACTCGCTTCTGGAGCTGATGCACAGAGAGCTGGCGGTCTGGCTGGGCAGAAGGTCCTTGGACTCTGGAGACTTCTCATCCACCTCCAGGGCCTTGGGGGGATCCTCCATGGTTACAGTGCCTCAGCACCAAACACCTGGAGCCTGCAACAGTGAGAAGAGAGGGTGAAGCCAAGAGAATCTGTGAGCCTTCCTGATTCCAGCGTCTACTGCAGCCTGGCTCTCAGTGGAGGCTCATGCAGAAGCCAGAGGAAATCAGATGAATCTACGTAAAAAAGAAACGTGTGGTGGGATGGTGTTTTCCTATGAGAAAAAATGTATCATTCTAATCAACACTTAGTTTTAGCACTTAAAAATGGAACAATGTTTTTTTTTTAAATTTATTTATTTATGCATACAGAACTGGGGTACAGGCCAGAGGTACAGGGGTGGAGATAGGATTCACCAGAGAGTGGGGAGCAGAGCAGGCAGATGGATGAAGTACACTGCTGAGGGGAGCAGCAGGCAAGAGCAGGCAAGACAGGGGAGGTCTGCTGTGCCCTGTAGATCATCTCTGGGGCGGAGGATCGAACTCGCACTGAAGTGGCTGTGACCAGCCACATTGTACCACCAGGGAGGGCCCAGTGGTTTGCTTGCTTGTTTGTTTTTTCCCAGTGGTTTATTTTTAAGAACAGTTTGTTTAAAACACAAACCTACATTTTATTGAGTGACGTCTTATTTTCAAACTTCATATATAACTTTCTAGCTGTGTGACCTTGAGTGAAACACGCAACCTCTCTGTGCTTTAGTTTCCTTATCTATATATAAAACAAGAGCTATTTATGCCATAGGGGTTTCAAAATCCTTAAGTAATCTAAGACATGTAACGCAGTGAAATACTCTCTATATACTGTAAATACTCTGTAGGTGGTACTATTTGCCTATTCAAATAGTGATACTTTATACATAAGTGTGTGTGTATGATTGCTGTCTGTCAGATATTGCTCTAAGCACCTCATTCATCAAGTGAAAGCTTCACAATGACCCTGTAAATTAAATGCTAACCTTGTTTTACAGGTGAGAAAGTTAAAACTCAGAGAGGGTAAGGAAACTTATTACAAAGTAAGAAACTGCCTGAGGCTGAATTTGAGCCCTGTCTGCTCTTGCTTTTAAATCCCAGGCTGAAGAACATCTTTCAGGGTACCTGAAGTTTTATAGGCTTGTCAGCACAAGACAATGAAGCCTCAGCTTCAGTGTGGCCTCCCAATTGCTAATTGCCACTGTCCAGTTACTGCCAGAACAATCTTCACGAAAGAGCCAGAAAGTTCCAGAAAGATCTCCATCTTTCTGTACCTTAAGAATGTCCATCATCTACGCCAACTGTCCTTTCCCATCTCTCTTCTAGAGCCTGCCTATGTACTTCCTGGTCCTTGGAGCTATAGTCATACTTCGTGTCCCCCAAACCCCCAACACACATACACACTGAGGGCGAGAGGGTCCTCTCTCTGCAATTTCAGAGGCATCAAAACTTTTCCACTGGAGCTGTACTGACTCAAATTCTTTTCATGACAAAATTGGAATTGCAGTTTGAGTGCAAGGCCTCTGCTTTCTACCTCTAGGGATTAGGTGCTTTTACTCCCTCACCCCCTTTTCCTCCCCTTCCTCAGGAGCCTGGTTCTTCCTCTGACCTCTCTATGTCTCCTGCCTGGCTCTCTCAGACCCCACTCAACTCAGCATTGCTCATAACCCTTTCTATGAGTGGGATGGAGACAATTCTTCTCATACTTATTGGAAAGGTGGAATGTTCACCTTAATTATAATGGGCTCCCCTTCTCCACCCCAAACTGGGTTACAGTTAATCCCTAATATGGTGTGTTTTGGAAACCATGTTACCAACTCCTGGGTTAAAGACAGTTTGGGATAAAGGGTGAAGGAGATGGTTTCTGAACTGGTGGTTCCCCAAACCTAAGGCTTTGGAAGCTTCTGCATCTTTGTCAAGGCACTGTCACACACGGGAGCTTCCTTTAGTGTTTGTTTTCTTCAGTGTTTCCTGAAATATTCATTGCAAACTGAATTTGCTCAACCCCACCCTACTTCCACCATCACAGCTGATCAGGCCAGCCTGGGATTCCCACCTTCCAAGTAAAGTCTCTTGGCTTCTAGATGGAGTCTTTACAGATCCATTTTTCCTCCCTTGACAGGGGCAAGAGTAACATTGCCACGCCTTCAAAATGCAGATCTTTTCATCACATCCACTCATCTAGAGCGTGGATATTGGCTCTCTGCTCTCAGAGACTGAAAAGTATGATGGCTGTGCCTCTGTAAGTACACACACAGGTGTTCATTTCCTTTCAATCCTGCAGTATATTTGCATAAGCCAGTCATCATTTTTAAAGTGACCTGTGTCCCTGTGACTGGTGTAGAGAAGGGATCAGACAGCATGTTATGAAATCCGAGTCTAGAAGTGAGTGTTGGTCACTGCACCTTTCGCACATTCTGTCTGAATTATCAGGGGGATGTTCTTTCTGGGTAGCTGTTCCTGCCTGGCAGCGGGGCCCCCCTGGCAGAGTGCTTGCTGGAGACGCAGAACATGGGGATGCCCAGTTGTGCTGAAGGGGAGCTGTGCTCTGGGAGAGAGGAGACTACTGCTGTGAGCAGGAAGTGTGCAGCTGGAGCAGGACCAGGCCAGGAGATGAATCCCAGAGACAAGAGAGGGATGTGAGACATGAGGCCTCCCAGGAGCATCTTACACATGCACTGTGGCCCTGTGAGGAGCTCATTTGCCCATTCCCATTTAATAAGGGTAGAGACTCGGGAGATACCCGCTGCTTTCTGGTTAAAGGCAAAGTCTTTGAGCTGGAAGCTCCTTGCACAAGAACATGGCTGGTTCTGAGGTATCCCAAGGATCTTTCAGTTTTGAGAATCTCTGAATTTTTCACTTTGTAGGGGGTTCATCCTGCCATAAAGCAACCTTTCAGTGAATATGAAAGGACAGAGATAACTAGTAGTGTAGTGATTCACGACATTAGAGAAATAAGGACACTGTTGTATGTTTTTTTCTAATGTTATATATATATATTTTTATTTAAAGTACTATTTTTACTCAGAGGTTATGTCCACTTCTGGAAATGGAAATATTCTTGATTTTATGAAATGACTGTGGTAGAAGATGATCATTGGTTCTGTTGCCATCTGCACTTGCTGAAAATAAAAATTGGTCATCCAATGCAGATTATCTGTCTACCTACCTACCGATCTACCTATCTACCCTACCTGTCTATCTATCTACCCACCTACCTATCAATCAATTGATCTTCTGATCAATCTATCAATCATCATCATCATCTACCTAACTTGTAATAGCCCATGATATAGTCCCAAAGAATGGGAACCATTTCTTAGCTGACTTCCTCAGGCGGGGTAGGTCCTTGGAAGAGTGATGGGCAGGCAGGGCTTTCTTTTCTAGTAGTGACTGAAGGGGAAGCAGTTCCCTCTTGAGCAAGGTGAACATAGTCTCTCTCTGCAGGCAGGAGTTTGGCACTGCTTTAAACAGAGGAGGCAGGCAGGGCTGGGTGGTGGGATGAAGACTATGGTGGGAAGAAGCATGCCTGCATGGTTTCAGCAAGTCAGCAAGCTTACTGGGCACTCCTAGGTCTTTGACATCAGGAGATTGCTGTTTGAAAACAGTTTGCCTCATAAATTTAGTAGCCTGAACAGGTTACTAAACTCCCATGCGACTTACTATTCCTTTGTGTAAAATAGAAATAACAGTATCTACTTCATAGGGGTGTGGTGGCTGTTGGATTTCATAAAACACTGCTACATTGTGTGACACATTGTAGATGCTCAAAAGGAAATGGTCCCAGTTGTCATTATAATTATTTCCTTTCTTGGTCCCTGCTTGTCATTGACAAGGTGAAATTGGGGCTACTGTCTAGAGTTGTTTTAGATCCGTCCATAGTTGGCGAACTGAACTTGAATCCTGAGAACTCGGCTTTTCTAAAAATCACCAATTCAGAGACCACTGTGTTCTAGTAGGTCCCCTCCTTTTCCCCTGTTCCAGCTTTCTCAGCTGTGGCGTGATGGACATTTTTGGGGTCTGATGACCCTTCAATATAGGAGCTGTCCCATGCACGGTAGCGTATGCCACTAACTGCCATCAGCACACACCCTCTAGTCATGGAAACAAGAAAGGTCTCCAGACTTTGCCCAGGGGGTTCTTGGGGGAGTGAAATCACTGCAGTGAGAACCCCTGCTCTGTGGAGGCCCTCCCCTCCTGGGAAGCTTGCAAGCTGCAGTGCTTTAGGGCTCGTTCAGAGCTACTCATCCTCCACCTCCCTTGAAGCTAACTGGCCCTGCCTAGCACTCGGCAGATGGTCACAGGACTTGTCCCACTGCCAAAGCTCTGTGGGGGGCCAGGGACACATGGCGAGCTGGTCCATAAGAAGAACCATACTTGGGTGTAGCTTAGTCCCTGGGGGTTTGGCTTGTGTGTCTCAGAGGGTCCCTTGTCCCCCACAGTAGGGTGAATTGACCACTCAGCACCTCAAAATGGGGCCTTATTTGGAAAGGGTCTTCACAGAAATCTCCAGATGAGTCATCATGCCATCAGCTAGCCCAAACCCAGTCACTAGTGTCCTTATAAGAGAAAGGAGAGAGACATTTGACACACAGAGAAGAGATGGAAGCTGAGTGGCATCTCCACAGCTGAGGAGTAACCAGGGCTACCAGCAGCAACAGCCATGAGGAGAAAGTTTCCTCCTCAGTGTCCTGAAGGAGCCAACTGATGCCTCTGTGATTTTGGACACCTGGCATCCCAAACTGTGAGAGAACAGACTTCTGTTGTTTGAAGTGAGCAAGTTTGTGGTCATTCCTTTAAGAGTCTTAAAGAAATGATACACTCACCTTCCTTTAAAGTCCCTGACACTCAGAGGTAGGCAAGGAAAGAGGCCTCCTGGGGCTGCGCTTGTGGAGGAGAGAAACGGAGACATTGGCAGGCACTGGGCCTCCTGGACTGACCACAGATTTGAATGGTGGCTCAGCTTCAGAGCTGCTTTGAGAAGGGAGACCAGGTTGGAGACTAAACAGGAGTCGATGGGGAGACTTACTGTGGCACACAGTTGGGGAGTGCTGGCTGGTGTTATGAAGGGCCACCGGTCTGGGTC